CAACGGATTTCAAGCATGGATTTCGCTCGACGCGAAATGAAAACCCCATGAAATCCGTGCATCCATTCGAGAAGACTGAATGAAAAAGCTTGGAAGCGAAATACCTCTATGCATATTTCAACCCGTGCCCATTTTAATCTGTGCCCATTTCAATCCGTGCCCATGGACGTAGAAAATGCCCCCGGACTGCTCGCCTGCTTTTCATTCGGCGATACGAAAAAATTCCGGATCGCTTTGCTCACCGGAGCGGCAATTCATCAGAGCGGGTTTTGCATGAGAACGGAAGCTCAAACTTTTCTCTGATATTCTCTGGGATGAAGCAGAGTGTGTAACGCGAAAGCAGAAAAAAGAATTAAAGTCTGCGTCGGACAGAAGCATCGCGGTCTCTTGCCAGCATTGAAGTCACATGCGGAACTGACGACGCAATTCGAATTCGTGAGTAACCAGTGCCGCCGCGGAGAGGCTAGAATTTAGCTGGTACATTATTTACAGTAGTTGGTACATTTTCTCCAATATCAGAATTTCCTGTGCCAGCTTCGAGAAGCTCCCGCGAGAATTTCGGTTCGCGTGTGAATCGCGGGGGGACACAGGGCTCCAGAGCTAGGAAAAATTAAATTGAGAAGTAACTTGTAACTGATTACTTCTGGAATGGAATTGTTGGAATGAAGGGTTGGTCTTCTGCTGCATTTTCGGATTGGGTTTCACAAATTCTTTTTCCACAGACTTCTGGCGGGTATAAACGGGGAGAATGGGCTCATTGTCTCTGTTCACTCTGCCAGAATATAGAAAATGGTCCATGATAAGAATTTATAAATGACAAAAAAAAGGAGCGGTTGCAACAAAAAAAGTTCATTAGAGAGACTTCCTGATTTCCTTTGTAGCCTGTACAGAAATAGCAATCATTTTTGTACAATGCGCGCTGCACAGAATGATTAAATTGAGACTTTAATGAGACGCGTCTCAGGAAGAAGACGGATGCCATTTCAGATGCGGCTCTGACGCTTTCATGCCAGGAAAGGTATTTCCGAGGGAAATAATGGGCAAAAATTGGCTCTGGAAAGGATATGCAGAGATGTCATAAATCAGGATACCTTTTTCCCCTCATTTTCGACCCCATACACTCTGCTATTTCCATACACCTCGCTCTCCCCATACACTCCGCTATCTCCATACACCTCGCTCTCCCCATACACTCTGCTACTTCCATACACCCTGATTCATGATATGGTTTATAAATAAATAAAAACTGCAGTCATTGAGGCCATGTACTTCGGTTCTAGGCGAAGATATTTCCACGATACCCGTCATATGCAGAGGGTGACAGGCTTCTCTAAATTTGTCCTGCCGAAGCAAGACCTTAAAGGATTACACATTACAGACTGTAAGCGATTACACATTAAAAGCCGCAAATGGGAAATGAGATTGAAATGGCTCCGAGCTGTCAACGCCTCTAGCAGTCTTTTCTGCTTTGACTCTTTTGGGCTGCCTTTTATTCAATATTGGTTAATTAATTAATTTTTTTTCAGACTTGTCTGCTGTACTGCGGGTAACCGAAGTTAGCAGTTCATTTTCCGATGTAATTTACATAATCGCTCTTGCTTTTCACAGCACATTAAACGAATACGAAATTTTGCACGTCTCTGCTCGTGCTCAGCGCATGTTTCGCGAAACCGAAAGTCCTGAAAATACGTATCATCTTCGAGAAGAAAAAAAGTAGGATGAGCTTGAACAACAACTGCTGACAAGATATGCCCTATGAGCGTATCGAGGACTGAGCCCAAGGTACTGGCAGCTCAATTCGAACAAACAGAACGTTCTTATGAACGATCCTTCTCCACCGCTTCATTTTCAGCTTTTTTTTCCCGTCGTGCGAAGCAAAGCGAAGTACAAGAGAGCTCATTTTTTGTCGTCGCATATTTCTCGCAAACGAGACCAGAAAATAAGTACCCATTCGGCACAACAACGTTGTGTCAACATCGATAAAGGGTTGACATGTCGAGATGTGGTTGAGACATCCGCATTTAAATAGGTTCTACCAACCGGTGCGAGATGGCGCCTAAGCGCCGATTCAGCGATTCTCACCCTGGTGGCATTGGAATGAGTCCCCTGTACTTTTCATACAGTACCCGATCTTTTCTCACGTACTACTGGCAAGGGGGTCCGAGGAGATATCCTGACTTTTCCCAAGTCCATGTAGAAGTGTGTCTATGCCCCTCTCCTAAAATGAGAAAAATCTGATGCCGGATATATAATTCTCTGCCGGACAGAAAGAGTTGCATCACGGAAGCACTTAACCCAAATTCTGATCCAGGAAAGGAAATTCAATCTCAGCAGGATCTTCCGGGATGCTACTACTAAATGAAGTACTTTTTTTTTACCGCCTGGGGATCCTCCCATGGCACTCCGGAAGAATTCCTCCGTGGGATGATAGTACTTAATTGAGTACTGTCACCGATCTAATACGCATTCAATCTCATCATCTAATCGATATTAAATAAAGAACTGTAATGCTCAAACGTTGATTCGTCGCTGACACGTGGCAGATCGGCGTATTTTCAACGCTGAACTATTTAATTGCAACATTGTTACGTCGAAAAAGCAACCTTTGCTCAGTGTTGACACAACGTTGCTGCGCCGAATGGGTATAATAATAAGAGAAAATAAGTTACTGGAAATATGGTGGGCGCATGAGCGCCTTTTGAAACTTTACCGGGGAACTCACATAGGATGAGGAGACCCCTATGACGAGAAATGAAGACCAAAGAGTGAGAGAAGTTCGTCACTGGCAATGTCAGCACTGGAGATCGGGTCATTTTCTGGCTTTTTCTTGGAATACTTTTGGTAAAGACAGAGTCAGTTTGAGGATCGAGTCGCAGAAGGTTCCGTACAGAGAGCAAAAAAAAAAAACATTTTGGCTCGTGGAACCTTCGTCGGCGAGAATGAAGGTCTGAAGTCCCCAAGGATCGTGTTATTTCCCGATTAATTATTTTCAAAGGCTACCATACCGAAGTAGACAACTTCCGACTCTCCGTCGTCTTTGAAATGAATTGAAGGGGAACTTCAGTTTTGATTTAGGTGCCAAACATTTCGCTCAAACACCTTAATATAGTTTTGAGCAATTGGTTCTTCTGGAATTCATTAGTAATTATAGGGCTAAACCCCAATATGTAAATCCTAAACTCACCTAAATATTCTATGGATCAAATTGTCGCAGATTTATTCCTGCGCCGACACTATTGCGAAGCCTCATGGTATTAACGTGAACACTTTTCCACCCTGGATATTGAAAGGCTCGAGATACGAATCGACGAAGGCCAAAAACATGCAGAAATAAAGCTCGATAAATCTCGACCTTACGGAAGTAGGCCTAGAAGAAGCTAAACAGCCCTGGATGCAATGGTGACAGCCATTCACTACTGCTTTCGGCCTCTTTCAGTTTTTATAGCCTAGCCTATGGCCCAGAATGGTAAAGCCTTGAAGGCCTTGAAGGCCATCCAAGGCCTAATGAGGCCTTGGATGTAGGCCTTGGATGGCTTGGATGGGCTTGGCATCGTAGGACTCGCGCGTTAGGAGTGACGGCCGACTCAACGTTCGGTCTCTTCCAATTAAAGTATTAGATATCAGATTGGATTAGATGTTCTTGAGGTCCATTTGGGTTACAGCTGGCTTCTACTCGCACACATTATTGCTGGCAGCTAAGCCAAAATGTTCTCGGCAAAGGATGAGATTGCCATTGGGATTCAGAGATCTCCAGTTCATGAAAATAATGCAGTTCGTAAATAAACAAAAAATAAACTGATTCCTTGTTACATAGGTAACCTACGCAGCATGCATCGTCTTGCAATTCTGTCTGAATTTCAGCTAAGCCAAAATGTTCTCGGCAAAAGATGAGATTGCTATTGGGATTCAGAGATCTCCAGTTCATGAAAATAATGCAGTTCGTAAATTAACAAAAAATAAACGGATTCCTTGTTACATAGGTAACTTACGCAGCATGCATCGTCTTGCAATTCTGTCTGAATTCAAGAATCCTAGCCCCCCCGGGGAGATTCTCCGAACATTGTTTTCCCAACTCCTCTTCATGGTTTTCCGCCAGACATGTCAATCAGTCACGCGCAATAGGAATGGCGTCAGACTTCGGGCGCGAATTCGTTCAAGAGACACTAAGCGCTCTGCTCCAGGAAGCGTTGACGTTAGTTCAAGGGGCAACCACCAGGGCATACACCGCCATTGCGGTTACCCTGCTTTCGCGCAGGGTCCAGTCTTCTTAGTATAAGGTCTTTGGGCATACCCACCGATGAGATTGCGGCTGCCGTAGCAAGGCCGTCTCCGGCGGGAGAGCCGCGCTGCCTCCGACGGCCGTAGGAGGCAGACATAGATATACATGGTGGCCCAAAAGAAAGGGCACTCTTTTCAACGCGCATTTTTGGTGCAATGTTTTCAAGGAATTTTTTTCTGGTTGCATGCAATGGAAAGAAGAAAGATTCAAGTACAAAATGCTTTTTTCAGACTTGAAATATCTTGAAGGATGACCTAGAAAAAATTGGTTGAATTTCGGTTGCCAAAAATCGGCGTTGCGCTCACCAACTCGACCCAGCATTCACTCGATGTCCCTGCACTCACAAGAAGAAGCGAAACGCTGACCTTAGCAGACGTCGCGAGGCTGATTGGATGTGCCTGCTACCGTATGCGGTCGGTGAGCGCAACGCCGATTTTTAGTAACCGATAATCAATAATTTTTTTCTAGGTCACCCTTTAAGATATTTCAAGTCTGAGAAAAGCATTTTGCAGCTGAATCTTCCTTCTTCCCGTTACATTCAACCAGAAAAAATATCCTTGAAAACATCACACCGAAAATGCGCGTTGAAAAGAGTGCCCTTTTTTTGGGCCACCCTGTAGACATACCATGCAAGGAAATCCCTGCTGACTGTGGCGTTCAACATGCATTTTAACCCTTTCGGACATGGCGTTCATTCCAATGGACATTGCATTTTCATTGGGTCTATGGTAATTTATTTGGAAGGGGAAATTCATTGAGAAATAGTTGTCACAAATTCTAATATGTCCCATATTCTAATAATAATAGTTGTCCCGTATTCTGATATATTTTCATGAATCATGCTAATAAAGTCGTTCACTAAATGCAGATTAAAATGTTGGCTCATAGAATACGAATGTATGGGTGATCGTGTCAAGGTCTAAGTGTCGTGGAATTATTTTCTCTCATCTATCATTCCAGGTACGGAATTGGACGGAAGGTTGCGTCTCTGGAATCCGTTCCGTTCGACACGGGTTCTCCGGATCCCCCATGCCGTAAATGCCCTTCAGCTTTGCTATCAAGTCCTGCTTCTCCTTCTCGGGGAGAAAACTTGCCATGGCTGCATTGAAATTCTGCAAAGACAGGAAATGCCATTGGGATGCGAATGCTTGCAAAGTATCACAGCTGTAGCCAAAAGGACGTACGGCTCGGACGAGATGAGCCTCGGTGAGGCCCCAGTCGACCAGAAGGTCATATTCTTCCTGAAGACTTGCCATCGTCACCGTCGGGTCATCGCGGCTGATGGAGAAATTCGCACCGTCCTCGGCGAACCTAAGCCAAAATGCTTTCACGGAGCATTCCAAAGAATCTCGATCGATGCCTTTTCTCGATCGTGTACCGACCTGACGATGGGGTGTTTGGCCGTAGCGAGGGGAACGGCGCCCGTGTAGTAAGATGAATGAGGACAGGTCTCGAAGTGCACCCCATTCAGAAGACATTTCTGGTAGATCTTCGAATCCTTTAACACGTTGTACCCGTGCCCGATCCTCTCGGCGTGGAGCACGTCCAGCGCCTCACCATGATCGAAATTCCATTCAATTTTATTCATAAATTTATACAATCATTATTTATACGAGGGTGTCCGAAAGTGCTTAACAATTTTTGAGTTCTTCATCATCTTTTTCGTACGGGTCTAAGCTATTGCAACAAGTGTATGGATTATAACCCTGCAGTGCAGCATCCTTCGAGCCACAGCGTTGAATTAACAAGAGCAAGTAAAAGTTGACAAGAAAAAGTACGGAAAGAAACCTGTGATGGTATTAGCACTTGATTTGAAGAGACTCCGCAGGGCTGGATCGACAGACGCCACCGTGTAAAACCTTGTCAAAAATTTTATGAGAACCTACAGTGAGAATGATCGGGAAAAATGGTTGACTGTTCGAATCACGGGACTCAGCTGGAGCTGAAGAAAGCTATTAAATTCATCCCAAAGAAGTTTGTACATGTAATTTATGCAATTGAACGTCCCAAGTGTATAGGGTTTATCGCATTCTTGTTGCCATGGTTTTAGAGACAGTTTCTTTCGATTCAATCCTGTGAAATCTGCATTGTAAACCAGTTCAAATATCGTCACAGGTTTCTTTCTGTATCCTTCATGTCACAACTTCAACTGATCGTTTACTGCGCTGCAGAACATAAGATTCCATTAAATTGCTTTATCGAAATATTGACAACTTCTGGCAATGTGCTTTCAGTGTCGATCAACGATCACCAAGGGGCGGTTTTCCACCAATTGAAACACTTCAGGCGTTGAATTTGTTGCGGGCCTCACAAATTGTTGGTTCTCAAAAAGAGAGACGCAAGACGAATTCTTCCCCATAAACGTTTTTTAACCTTTCAATAACTTGTTAAGGCTTTCTCATTCTTTTTCACCATGAACTCCATCACTAAAAACTGCTCTGATCTGAGCCTGACAGTGCAAAAAATGACTTTGAACGAAAAATGCATGAAATTACAATAAAAGAGATATGCACTCGAAAACTTGCATAAATTACACCCACTGCCGGAGCTGAACATTCATCCGTTGGATTGGGTTAGCCTAGTGATGCACAACCCGCGAGCCGCGGGCCGCATGCAGCCTGCTGAGACCTTTTTTGTGGCCCCTTGGATGCCTCCGGTCTCTAAAGATCCATATTTATATGCGGCCTATTTCGGCTCAGGTTTGAGGGGCTTGCGGCCCTCGAACCCCTCGAACATGAGCCGAAATCTCAATTTTGGCCCTCTATGGGGAAAAGGTTGTGCACCACTGGGTTAGCCCCTACAGAAATTAATGGCAGAGAAAAAAGTCTGGAAATTTTTCCTCCAACATTAGTTACAATAATTTAGACCCGTAAAACAGAAAAGAAGACGGTGAGAACACAATGTAGTTAAGCACTTTTGGGACATCCTGTATAGGGTGGTGATAATAATAATAATAATAATAATACCATTGTTTTCTATGGTAGAATGTATACACGAGCAACAATGACAAGTTAGATATGCGATCGGCCCTAGAAGGCTATGAGGTGCTGGAAAGAGGATTACGTTGTTTTCAGTACTCGTGCCTGAGCCATACAATCCCCCGGTATTTTAAATTTAGAGGTGGATAATTCCACCACAAAAGTGCCAATGATCTGTGCTCGACCATCTCAGAATACAATTACATTTGGCAAGCAGTCGAATCACGGTGAGAATAACGTATAACAAAAGTCGTAGACCTTTCCAGCAAACGAGTGCCGGGATATGAGGGTTAAAATCGGCCATTAGGGCAAAAAGAGGCCCCAAGGCCCATCATTTCATCTACCACATGTTATTGACTTGATAAATGCAACCAAGAATTTGTAATAATTACCAACGTTCCAATTTGAAAGTATAATCATTATGTAGGAATCATAAATCACTTGCTATGCTGGTTAATATATGCATGGATTGTCCCGCTCTCTCCCTCCCTCCCCCACCTCTCCCAAAAAAGTAAAAGTGACACAGAAATCTAAATTCCCGCTGAAGAACCATGGGGTTGAAGATTATGAATATTTGGTCGTTTTCGAATTGAGGATTTTCTTACAAGACAGAAATATTAGGTAAATCCCCCGGCATATTCTTCCTTCCCTCTTTAGATTTAATTTCAGGAATCAACCAAGTCTTTAGGACAAAGAGCAAGAAAATTAGCATCCGGGGATTATATGACTCAGATGACTGATGCACTAATGAAACGTAATCCTCATTCCTACACCGCGCACTTCGTAGCCTTCCAAAGTGAAACAAAGTTTTCATCATTAGTCAAATGGAAAACAAAGTTTTCATCATTAGTCAAATGGAAAACAATATGTGTCAAAAGTCAATTTTAGTATAAAGTTTATCATTTCGTTCTTGTCTCGACAGCATTTTCATAATTCGAAACTCTTCCAGTTATCATTATCTTCATATCTTCAGATTGACTCAGTTTTGAACCTTTCTTGAGGTTCCCCAAGATTACTGTCTGATTATTACAAGCAGACCTCTGGAATTTTCACGAGAACACAAGAATCTCATTTTAGAGTGATTGGTGTGTGTGTGCATGTTTGTGAGGGGGAGGGAGACTTCGGTTGGCAAGTGATGGACCTTCCCCTCTTACTCCTCTGGTGACCTAAGAAATGTCTAGTAAATGATACTGACCTTCTGAACCATTTGAGGAGGCCCGACTTCGCCAGCATGGACGGTCCGATGGATTCCCTTCTGCTTCGCCTGTTGAAAGGCCCAAACGTCCTCCTCGTCCAACATGGCCTCTTCTGCAGGGACATTTCAAATTCATAGCCCAATCGTGGGGACGGCTTATAGGGAACTAGCTATACGACGGGGGAAAGTCGACAGGGATGCGAAGCAGACCTTCGGTTTCGCCCTTCAAGGTTTTCCCGGCTTCGTCTCCGGCGATGTCGATTCCCATCACACTATGGGAAAACTCTTCGCACAGCTCCAGGATGTCACGCGACCACTCTATAAAACGAGCATATCTCCTTACATGCACGTCCAGGAGTACAGAATAGAGACAACAGAAGTTCTCGCCAAGGATGCGTAAGACGTGGGTTCAATTCCTTCGCACAGGTAGATACGACGCTGGTGGCGCACTGTCCCTGGCATACTTTAAATGTAGTAGCTACTGTTCATGCACTCTGCCGAATATGACTAAGGAAATTGCCCAGATTTGTCATGTGTAATGCACGTAACGCATAAGAACGCACTGAAATGTCACTAAGACTGTGATTGCGGGCTGGGTTGGGCGGAGGGAGGGACTGGATATTCGGCGGCACCGATGGGGTTAGGTGAAAAGCGTAGGTCATACAAGAGGCAACAAGGGGGCAGGAAAATGGGATGGTGTCCTCGTCTCAGGCCCTCCTGCTCTTGCGTCCCAACGAAGAGATGAGATCCATAACAATGTTTGCAGATTTCATGAAGGTGCATCAGATTATGAATATTCTGCATCGATAGATTTATTTTTAGTAGATCTGTCAGACTTCGAACACATGCCACAGGTTTTCTGAAAATTTTGCGAAGTACCTGAAAAATCATTGTTGACGTCAACGTCAGATTCTATTAAACGACAATGCAGGTGCTTTAATCAGCTTTAGAAACAGGGAAAAGTCTCACGGGATCAGGTCACATGAATTCGGGTGGGGGTACAAGCATCCATTTACATTATTGGGACTTCCCTTTTTTTATTAAAAAAAAAGTCATACCGGAAACTTCCCGGAGAGCTTTCGTTTGTCTCCTGACATCACATTGTAGATTCGGACTTCAAAATTTCAAAGGCCTGTCAGTTCCTAAATTTTGTGGTGTCGCCCATTCCTCTTGCGATCCCTCGTACCAAGGCGTTCTAACAACGGTCCACTCGACCGAGTTGCCTTAATTCCCGTGGAGGATTAAGTTGATTCGATCTGGTGTATGCCTCCAAAACACGATGCGTTTACCTGGCAGTTGATATGATGGGTGGACGATGAACTCACCAGGCATTCCTCTGATGCAGGCGAGGATGGAGCGTGCCTTCACGCCGGTCACCTCCTCTCCACGCTGGAAACCTCGATTCACGGCTCTCACCACGTCTCGAACCGTCGGGCACTTGTCCCGCCCCTCCAGCCGGATCCTGTCAGTTACCATCAGCACCATTGCATATCTCTCGAATGTAAATCGTGAGCGCGAACGGTAACCACCGCAATTTCAGATACACATTATTTTCCTTGCAATGCGCGAAGCGAATCGATCGCCTCTGTCGTCAGTTTCGGTTTTGTCGAGTGATGGTAAAGAAAGAACTATAAGTGCGAAGAATCTGTGGTCACTTTCAGTCGTGGTTGCAGTTACAGTTCTACGGGGATGTCGAACCTGCTTCGGCCTCCCTCTCCTTATGTCAAAGCAAAACTGCAGCAAAAACCGACAATGACTAAGGAATCGAAAGCGAATCCGCTTTTTCTTCTTACATCACCTACCACGAATGAATGCCGTGGGTTTACATTGAAAGGAACCCCCCCCCCCCTCGTAACTTCTTAGTTGTGGAATGTTGAAACAGTGCAACAAATATTCTGAATGACCCCGAAATCCTATATGACAATTGTGAGCTGAAAGTATGTTACGAACATATAAAATGGCCTTCATTCTTTCAAATCGAATCCCAGATTCAGGTCAACTGCAAAGAATGCATTTACCAGTTCCATGCAAACTTATGCAGGAATTGCTGGGAAAATATTCAAGGAACATGCATTGTCAGGCTAAGAAAACGGTGCTTTAAACGGAATTATTATGCTTCCGTGAAAAAAGGTAGAAAGCAGATGCTCTGGAGGCGTTGTTACATTTATTGTGCTCTTACTGTTTTCGTATTCTCACCGTCTCACTCACAATGAGACGGTGATCATATTCAATTATTTTAGACGATTTTCATCGTTGGATGGCGCATATGGAAGTGGGTTGTCAGTTGCACGAGTAACACCATCGTGAAACCTCATTATCCACGGACTCGGAATTAGGTGGATTCGCTTCAGGGGAGAAACTGTCATTTCCGAGTGGTTTATTTGTGGCTCTGCCCACATGATTCAACGACCCAGGTGATTCTTCATGCTAGTGTATTTTGGGAATCAAGAACGTCATCCTCGTTGGGAAATCAGTGAAGTTCTGGAGTGATAACTGAGAAGCTGTTCTTCCCTCCCATTCCCCCCCCCCCCCNTGGATTCCCTTCTGCTTCGCCTGTTGAAAGGCCCAAACGTCCTCCTCGTCCAACATGGCCTCTTCTGCAGGGACATTTCAAATTCATAGCCCAATCGTGGGGACGGCTTATAGGGAACTAGCTATACGACGGGGGAAAGTCGACAGGGATGCGAAGCAGACCTTCGGTTTCGCCCTTCAAGGTTTTCCCGGCTTCGTCTCCGGCGATGTCGATTCCCATCACACTATGGGAAAACTCTTCGCACAGCTCCAGGATGTCACGCGACCACTCTATAAAACGAGCATATCTCATTACATGCACGTCCAGGAGTACAGAATAGAGACAACAGAAGTTCTCGCCAAGAATGCGTAAGACGTGAGTTCAATTCCTTCCGTGTCGCACAGGTAGATACGACGCTGGTGGCGCACTGTCCCTGGCATACTTTAAATGTGGTAGCTACTGTTCATGCACTCTGCCGAATATGACTCAGGAAATTGCCCAGATTTGTCATGTGTAATGCACGTAACGCGTAAGAACGCACTGAAATGTCACTAAGACTGTGATTGCGGGCTGGGTTGGGCGGAGGGAGGGAGTGGATATTCGGCGGCACCGATGGGGTTTGGTGAAAAGCGTAGGTCATACAAGAGGCAACAAGGGGGCAGGAAAATGGGATGGTGTCCTCGTCTCAGGCCCTACTGCTCTTGCGTCCCAACGAAGAGATGAGATCCATAACAATGTTTGCAGATTTCATGAAGGTGCATCAGATTATGAATATTCTGCATCGATACATTTATTTTGAGTGGATCTGTCAGACTTCGAACACATGCCACAAGTTTTCTGAAAATTTTGCGAAGTACCTGAAAAATCATTGCTGACGTCAACGTCAGATTCAAATAAACGACAATGCAGGTGCTTTAATCAGCTTTAGAAACAGGAAAAAGTCTCACGGGGTCAGGTCACATGAATTCGGGTGGGGGTACAAGCATCCATTTACATTATTGGGACTTCCCTTTTTTTATTTAAAAAAAAAAAGCCATACCGGAAACTTCCCGGAGAGCTTTTGTTTGTCTCCTGACATCACATTGTAGATTCGGACTTCTGTCCGAATCTACAAAAGGTCTGTCAGTTCCTAAATTTTGTGGTGTCGCCCATTCCTCTTGCGATCCCACGTACCAAGGCGTTCTAACAACGGTCCACTCGACCGAGTTGCCTTAATTCCCGTGGAGGATTAAGTTGATTCGATCTGGTGTATGCCTCCAAAACACGATGCGTTTACCTGGCAGTTGATATGACGGGTGGAAGATGAACTCACCAGGCATTCCTCTGATGCAGGCGAGGATGGAGCGTGCCTTCACGCCGGTCACCTCCTCTCCACGCTGGAAACCTCGATTCACGGCTCTCACAACGTCTCGAACCGTCGGGCACTTGTCCCGCCCCTCCAGCCGGATCCTGTCAGTTACCACCAGCACCATGTCTAAACTTGCCACAAGGCCTAGTCTGATCCCTCTCCATATCCCCTATCAGTTGCAGTCAAGATGTCTGAGCAGCAAGTACCAAGTAGTGTTGCGCAGCGTATTATTATTAAATTTCTTACAAACGAAGGTGTCATTCCTTCCGAAATGAATTATTTTTTATTATGAAAGTTCAAGCTCAGTTTAGTGAAGAATGTCTCACAGGCAAGGGTGTATAGCTGGGCCAAATCATTCAAAGAAGGCCGAGAACGCGGAGAGAATGAACCTCATGCTCGAAGACCAAGAACTTCTGTCACTCCGGACAGTGTGACCGTCAAGCCGTGCATGATTGGATAGGTAATCAATCAAAAGATTTCTTTGAAACCGGAATTAAGAAGCTTCCAGAACGCGGGCAGAAGTGCATTGCAGTTGAAGGGGACTATGTCCAAAAATAGTGTAAGTGAAATTTCGCTATGTTCAGTCTATAAAATGTTTTAGTCAAATTCTCGTTTATATTTGAACACCCCTCGTAATACCCTTTTGAAGAAGCGCGAATGCGAGTGAGCGTGAGCCACGAGACGAGAGGGGTTGGAAGAAATAAGCTGCTCACCCCCTATGGCCTATGCGATGACTTGCGAGCACGATTAGGATACTCACTCGTTGTGTTCGGGGACGAAACCCGGATCGAGCTTGAGGAGATGATCGTTGCAGTGCTTCTGCAAGAGAAGGAAAGGGCAATAGCGAGCCTCGCAGTAGCAAACCCCGTTCCTGGCCTGGTCCTCCACGAATTCAAATGCCATTCTCTCGACCGCATCCACGTCGTCTCTGCAAGTATCACCAATGATCCGCAAAAAATTGAGAAAAATGATTTCCCCCCCCGTAAATTCAAAACTTTTATTAATAAAGAAAACTTAGTATTACTATACCATCCATGCCTGCTAGATACCATTGAAAGGTTCAGATGAATTATTTTGCATGATATTGATGATCTGCCGGGTGACCATCGATCGACCACGATTTCTTAAAGTAATGAAATCGGATGACTCCAAAGAGCCTGGAGGGCTCCACAACACTTCGCTGCACGTAATTTCTTTGATACACAAAACTGCCGGCATTTCGCTGCAAACCATTCATCTGCATTTTAGAGCTAACTGTTTATCATTTCACTGTCATACTCCTTTCACTGCACTCATTTTGGCGGTCAGCTTATGGGAACAAGGTGCTTAGTTTCCATTATCCCGTTCTTCAACGACGTACCACGTCACCATGGTGACCACAGTCTCTGGCAATCACCTGGTGGAGCTCGAACCCGACCGATCAGGCAGTTTTTCCAAGGCCAACAGTTTCTTCTCACTGCTTTAGGATACTATCGGCTCTCCCATTTAGCTTAGGCATAGGCTACTCTTTCCTCCATGGTAGAAGTGGGCCTAGGAAAAATCCACCCGGAAAGAAGACCCCCAGATTAGGCAAAGGCAGAAAAGTGCCATCCAGTTATGTTCGGTCAGATTAAAGACTCATTCATTTTTGCGACATTTAGTGATATTGATGTAATGTAATTTGATCAACTTCACTGAAATGTTATTAAACATAAAACAAAGTCCAACTTCAGCCCATTCCTTAAAAATGAATATTTTGGCTGGAAATCTTTTTATTTTGGCCGTGTCGCAGGATGAGATGATTGCACCCTCTGCACTTCTTGGAATTTTTTATGAAACAACAATTGCTCTGGGGCCATGTAAGGTTTTTATTTTTATTTTATCTCCCTCATATCCACTTTAACTCCTTTTTCCGGGGGGTGGAGAGGATCAGGATTAGCTCCCCTCCTCGATCCACCACCCTGAACCGCCCATTGTCCCCAACCCCATTTCCATCAGCAGTCCCTAAGTCTGTTGAAGTCCATGTTCATAACGGGACAGTCCTTCCCTACATTAAGAATGTAGGAAAAGAATATTTCTATAGAATCGATTGAAAGAAGTGCTTTCAATCGAGAGATGTTTTTGCCTTTTCCATTCTCAATCAATGGAAACGAAAAATCATACATTATGAATGTAGGAAAATAAAATTTCTTTAGAATCGATTTAAAGAAGTGCTTTCAATCGAGAGATGCTTTTGCCTTTTCATTCTCAATGAATGGAAACGAAAAATGAATAATATATTAATTGAAAAATTGGTGGCAGTTCATTGAATATTAAAAACATAGATAACAGTCACATAACTGCATGAATGTGTCTTAAGGTCGCCAAGTGAATGTCTAATTATCTGATACGTATAAATATATATAAATGAGAACACAATGATCTGGGTGGCTTTTTCGCATTTTCATCTCGGGTGGCTTTTTTCCGCTTTTGTCAATTCTGGGGGGTCTTTTTTCCGGGTGGCTTTTTCCGAACCCCGGTAGAAGTAGTAGAGGCTTGGTGTACCTCAAGAGCTACCCAACGCATCAGCTTAGTAGCCCCATAAGTGCCGCGATGAACGGACCGAGATCGCGAGTGGCATCGAGGTTGCCATCACCTTTCTCTGAGAGCATGAAAAAAAGACATGCGAAATGTTAGAGATCTTGAAAAGGTGTAGCAATGCCGCCAGAAATGCCTATGTGACAACTTTTCTCTATTATGAGTTCAGGTGCTTGTGGCATTGTCATTGTCTGGGTGGCTCCTTTCCAATCCGTAGTTAAAAAAAAGTATTGTGAATGCATCGATAAGTTAAACTAGAAAATATTGCACTGTGCAACTATGGCACTGAGAAACTATGGCACATCATAAGTTTTAAGCCAGTCTCCTCTTTCCTTGTCCTAGACTCTCCGTGAAGGATGGGAACCAGAGAAAAGTGAGAGTAGATGAATGAGAAAAAGAACAAGTTGCTCATGCAGGGAACTGCACTGCAGTGAAAACGATGAAGCAGGGAATAGGACGAAAATCGAAAGGGATACATAATTAAATGACGCACGACAAAATAGCCAAAGTGAAAATGACCTAGACTAAATTGCCTACTGAGAAGCGTCGTGCCACGCAATTTGGTGCGGCTGTTAAATTTGAGTCGAGTCGAGTTTGATTCGAACAGGCCTCGCACAAGCGCCACTGCTTTGAGAAAACAGGAGGTATACAGGGTGACACAAAAGTTCTGTACACTCAGTTTTTTCAACATTTTACAACTTCTTTAAACAGCTAACAAACGGGGACAACAACTATTAGAAACTGTAACTATTTCAACAGATAATACCAGCAAAATCATTCAAAATGCCCACCTTTTGCTTCCATACAATCGTGAAGTCTTTTTGGAAAAGTATCGACTGCAGCACGTAGCGTTTCTTGGGGGATTTTGAATCATTCCGTTTGAAGGGAACGCTTCAGGAACTCGACCGATGCCTGCGGAGTAGCACATGCTTTGTTCTCCAAGATGCTCCAAACAGAAAAGTCCAATGGGTTCGGGTCGGGACTATACGGAGGTGATGTCAGGGAATTCTTCTTTGCAGAAGGCCTGAGTGATCTTTGCCTTGTGGGCTGGGGAGAGTCCTGTTGAAAAGTCTATTAGCGGTTCCCAAAGTGCTGTTTGGCCCAGGGCTTTACTGTGCCCTCCAGGATGAGGTCACAGTAGACAGTTGCGTTGATCTTTACGCCAGAAGGCACGAAAACCAGCGGTGTGCGCCCCTCCACAGTGATAATGGCACACACCATCACAGAAGCTGGCATCTGAGTGCAAGTAACACGACGGAGGTCTGGAGAGATGCCTGACGACTCTGCCGCCCACACTCGATCATTTTGAGAGTTGAAGGATTGCTCGATTGTGAAGAGTTTCTCGGCAGAAAAGAGGATATTGCGATGGCCGCCATTTGCGAACCGATGGAGCAGCGACTGCAATCGTTGCAGTCTAGTCTTCATTTTTTCCATGAGAAATTGAGCATTGAGGAGCTTGAAAGGCCGGAGATTCAGCTTGTTCTTGACCATTCGCCGGAGCGATTCGCGATTTATCTTCGTTGTATGGGCCATTTTTCTCAGCGATTGCTTCGGATTGCGACGAAGTCGAGATCGAACTCTTTTGATGTTGGCAGTGGTTGACACAGACTTTGGTCGACCCGATCGATGACGATCCTCGGTAGAGTTTGTCCCAAGGAACTGCTCGATAGTACGTTTGATGACGTCTCGATTATCGCCGTTGTTCTGGAGCAGCCGGAAGATCTCAGAGGGAGACTTCCCGGCTTCATGCAAACTGATAAGAACACACCGACGATCTTCATTGGACAATGACATGACGAAACTAATAGGGTTTCAGAAAGTGCTGATGAAACTAAGTTCCTCGTACCTCAAGCTATATATAGAAACCGAACCAAACATGCTCGAACATGCTAGCTCAGAACCAACAAAGGTTTTAAAAGTGTACAAAACTTTTGTCACCCTGTAATTAGAGCCCTACGCGGGACGATTTTTGGGAATCCGATCCGAAACCCGATTGCCAACCAAGCGAGAGGAAAAAGCACATATTTAACCGTGTATTGCAGACTAGAAAGGTGCGACGAGCATGGAAATACAGGGTCGGTGAAAAATTCATTTCCCTCCGTATGTCGAAGTACTTAACTTCATAATTACATCACAACTCAAACAGAGGCATAATCAGTCCTAAAATTTGAGAGGGGGGGGGGGTTCGAAGTTCTCATGACCTGCCTTTCAAATGTCCCCGAATGCAAGAAGGCATCATCAAATCTTTAGGAGAGATATACTCAACAAAAATGCGAAATGGCGTTCAGGGGGTCTGAACCTTGGTTGCGCCCCTGAACTCAAATAAATTTTTAAAAATATGTTTCAAGGAGGTTCCTGATAAACTCAGAGAACACTAACACAGTCACAGCTCACCCAGCAAGCTCAGGGTAAATGTTCAAAGTTCTTGCCGTCTTGATCAAGACAAAGTTGAACTAACTTTTGGATCACCCAATTTTGTACCCTTTATTGATTGACCTATTGACAGTTGTAGTCCTCAACCTTTCAGATTAGGACTATGGGTCACGTCATTCCACTCTCAGATTACAAGCATTTAGGAAACTCCAGGCGCAGACTATCCATGATCCTTCCCAAGAGGCAAGGTAAGTAAGAATAATTTGAAAAAGGAATTCGGCCCGATCCGACTCGAGAAAGGATCTCAGGAATTTTGGCCCTCGAAGGCCGCGGGTCGATCTGACACCCGTTTAGGGCTCTATGCAGGATTCAAATGGAGTGAAAGGGAGTCTCTTCTCGTTCGGGGAAGTGTGATTAACCCTTTCAGACCTGAATTAAGGCCGCTATCAGAATAATATCATTTTTTACATTTTTGAGCTCTTTCGTTATTGTAATTGAAATTTTCGTGCTTTATATGCAGTTTTCATATTTTGTATAAATTTACCATATCATACCATATATTACATATTATACATTTAATTAAATAACTGAAGATTACAAAACTAATGGGTGAAAGAAGACCTCTGATAGAACTAAGCCGTGCATAATAGCGCCCATTGTAGCGTAATATGGAGGGCAAAGTCACGAGAATTCTAAGAAATTGCCATAGACACAATGTAAATGTAATGTCCATTGGAATGGACGCCAGGTCTGAAAGGGTTAAAACAGACGGCACACCACGCCAGAAAACCGTCTCACTTCGTTCTCCACAGAGCCTCGAGGATCTCCCGATGTGAAGGTCACACCGTAGTGAACCCGTAAAGGAAGGTGATTTTCCGACGAGTCGACGCGTCTTTCGAGAGAGCATGAAGCCTCGAAACGGAAGATTTATCGAGGCTTACACGATGGCGGGCACGAAGATGGAGAACTTCGAGAGGAAATGATTGAGGTCCTTGGGCCGATGTATCGTGAGGGCGTTCGTCAGGGCTTCCAGAGATCCGTTCCCCGGCATCGGTAACTCCTTCGTCCTTGAAACAAAAACATCCCGTCTCTCAGCAATTAATTATTTAAGTACTGTGACCTCGTACACGCGTTCTGCTATAGATGATCGTGCTCGCGTATACGCGTTTTTCGTATTTACTATTCGTATTTAATATTGCCATCACCTATACGCGACTGCTCCGAGAGGCAGTCGTCAGTGAGCTCACAGAGTTTATGTCTCACAGAGTTCCACACATTTTTTTACTCATGTTTGTCTATTTTCAGCAATATAACTTAGATCGAGGAGCACGGCCTACCGTATTTAATGCAGTCCTTGAAAAGTTGAAACGGAAAATCGCATCGACGAGACAAGACGTGCCTTTCCGATCGTGCCGCGGTCTCCGGTCGGGTGGTTCTTCGCATTTCGACGAAAGAGTGAAACCCATCTGAAGAGTCTCGCCTATCTGGACTCGGTCGAAACTTCGACTCGTGCCGATATTACATCGGGACGGGGGGGAATGAAACTTCTCGTAAAATAGACTCTACGCTCATGCGAGAAATCCAAAGAGCCATTGACGATGCAAAGGGCCCATTGAAACCACAGGACGAAAAGCGAACTCAGTGACCCCATATGAGGGGAAACAAGACCGCTCCGAGGGCCATCGAGCCATCTCTCAAATCGGACGATATGCTTTCTCGGGACCATAGACCTACCTCGTGTTTTTTTGCAACCATCGATCACGATCTTTTTTAAATTCGTGTCAGGATCCGTCAGCGGCCTATAGAGGCGTGATTCAGAACCACGGGAAAGGATTTCCGGCCCTTAACATTCGAAATAGAGGAGATAGCCGAGAAGTGTTTGCCTTTGAGAGTTCTTGTTTCATCCACTCTAAGTAGAAAAAAAAAACACTCAAAAGCTTATCATAGGAATGCATGCCTGCAAATAAGTGGCGTATACTCACTTGAGGAGTTCCCATATCGTGGTGTGCCTTATGGCCCCGTCCAAGTGGCAATGGAGTTCGACCTGAGGACAAAAAACCGGAAAAAGCTTTTCATAAATGTGGCAGACAGGGAATCTACAATCGATCGGTCCTTGCAAGTACTTCGCACACGAAGAAAGCGCTACTGAGAATCGTCGTCCATAGAAGGAAGAAATCGTAGAATGCCGATACTCCACACGAGTAGTGGATATGAACACTGCGAATTCGGTCGCGTTTGCACGCCGATCATAGGCGCCGAACTCATGGGGGCAAAGGGGCACGTGCCCCCCAACCCAACTATGTTATGGGGGGGGGGAGGGGGGGGGGGATTGCCCCCAGAGAATGGCCAAAGTACAATATAAGTATGGCACATGGAACATGGAAAACAAAAAGCAGTTTCACGAAAGGTATGAAAATATTATATTCCTATCCAACTTAGAGATCCCCGTCACCACGTAGGAGGGGTGTGGGGTAGAAGGGCGAGAGCCCTTGGCTCTCTATGCCCAGCAACACCCTCTTCCCGCACCCCCTCTCGTCACGCAGCTACCATAATAATACTGAGCTACCCTACTGAATCCTGGAACGATTCCGTCAATGTTTTGGAATGTTTTGGCATTAGGACCTCCCCCCCAAATATTTTTTCCAGAAGTCGGCGCCTATGCCCACATCTTAATGGAAGTGCTTGGGGTTCTCCTTTCCCAAGCACGCCGTGGCCTGCACGAGGAAATAAACGCCTGCCTTGGTTGGTGCCGAGCCCTTGGCCGGTCCCTTGCCATGAGACCCAACTGAGGTTATTTGTCAGCTGCTCTTTACCACCAGGTATAGTGCAACTCGCAGATCGCCCATTCACTGGGAATCTCGATACTTTCAAAAGTCAATCCATTCGAAGAACTGGGTTAATTTTTTTT